TTCTTGCATAAGGACACATCCCACATCTTGATAGGGTGCATCACAGTGGATATAAAGTTCTTGTCCTGATTTGGCAAAGCTAATACATAGGTTTTACTTCAACCTTTTTTTTCTTTACTCCTTTCAATACTTAGCTGAGGTCTCTTGATCCGAACTTAAGACCTTCTCAAGTAGCACTGTCAATATCTTGATGATCTTGGTTAAACCTCCCTTGAACCTCTAATCAAATCTCATCATTGAAAACCCTGAGTTTCTCTCACATCTTTGAGTGGGTTTCAATCACGTCACTAACTTTCTTGGTACCTTTTCTCCCTAATAACATATCCACGTAGAGAACTCACTTGTTAGGCTTGATGTCACATCGATGTTTTCTGAGTCCACGTAGATCCAACTATAGATGTCTCATATCTCCTTCCAAAGGTGTTTGTTCCTCCAAAGGTTTCGATCCTAGGACCTATGGATTATGGGTCCACCACGCTTCCGCTGTGCAAACTCGAATGTATGATACTTTATCTTGCAATTTCTTCAACTTGGCTACCCACCTTAAGAAAAGATCAACTAGGGGACAAAAAGGGTAGCTTCCATATTCTTCTGACTGTGTTAACTATCATAAAGACCTTCTGATATCCAAAAGAACTCATGTGCACATTTAAGAAGAAACAACTTGATTTTTTTTCTTCCATGATTTTTGGCCTCCCAAAAATAGAGATATATTCTGAAAAAGAAAGATTGCTCTAAAAAGGACAGGATTGAGAAAACAGGAGATAACCAAACCCGACTATATATTGCATTGATCCTTATACCTTAGACCTATAAACTAAATGAAATTGTGGGAACACCCAACAAGACCATTACAATCATTACAAAAGATCTAAAACAAGCATAAGCATAATGACAACCAACTGAACAATAAAGGTTCACACTTCAAACATGGACTCAACTGGCAATACTATCGTTTTCTCCATATTAAGGGCAAAGATACTAAAGCTCCTCTTCCGATGACGCAAGAAGATGGTAAGAGAAAGGTTCTAAAAGCATATCAAAATCAAGGAGTGGAGATGAGAACAAAGACTTTAAAATAAGCATCAATGTAGAGATGAATAGCAAGGGTAAAGATATAGTAGAGAAGAAAATATCAAGGTTCATAGAGCAAGGGTTTTTGTAGCAACTTCTAAACCTTAAAATGACCAGTTTCTACTAGGCTTGCATCCTATAGTCAGTATTGCTCTGATACCACTTTGTAGCATCTGGTTTTAAAAACAAAACCAAATACACACTATATGTGAGCCTAGGAAGTCAAATCTCACATATAACTACAAATAAAGGTAATATCAATAGATAATGCTTAATATATAATATACTTAATATAAAGGACATAACCTTAGATAGCAAACAGCGGAAAGACAACTCCGATCTTCGGGTGAAGACTCCAATTCTACAGGGTCAATTGACTGGCTGATCACAAGCCTAATTCCTCCAAACTCTAGCAATCTGGTACCCATTCTAGATTTTTCCAAATATTTAAAAAGTAAAGCAAGTGTAAGTACATGTCATACTCAACAAATATAACATGGGGTTCATGAGGCTCAAAAGGTTGACACTGGTTTAACTACGATTAGCTTTTAATTGTCATAATTTTAGCATAGGAGTAGCAACAAGTTTATCACAAGCCCATATAAACACATGATCAAGTAAACATGAATAATGAATAGCATAAACGGTAATCATTAGTGATTATTTTTATCATCAGTATCATCGTGTTCATCATCTATTCCATAAGGGTCCAAGGTTGCTTGAGACCGTGAGCACGGCTGATATACCAGTTTTATACTCTGCAGAGGTTGTACACTTTCACTGTGAGTCATGATTTACCCTTTCGTCCGAGGTGGCCAACCTCTTGACCCACTACCAAGGAAGATCGGCAGGGTTCACTATAAAGCCTTTCAAAGGTTCATCTAACAAGTTAGGGCCTTTCAAAGGTTCATCTAACAAGCATCTTACCGAGACACGGAGCGGACGAAGGCGGCGCTGTGCTTGGCGAGGTGATGGTGGACGGCGGCGCTTGGGTTGCGGCTGGCGTGCCGACTCGGCGAGATAGGAGCTTGCTCCGAGGCTCAGGATGGAAGCGGCATGATGCGGGTGCTCGGTATTTATGGCCGGGAGCAGCTTGGGGCGCAAGCCAAGGACGAGGCATGGCCGACGCGGAGTCGGAGTCGGGCGGTGGTGGAGCAGAGTCCGGGTGGAAGACGACGGGAGGTTGAAGACCCCACTGACAGATGGGGCCAGGGTGGCAGCAAGACAAGGCAGGAGGAGACGGTGAACGGCGCGGCTACGCTGGGCCGGCCTGCTAGGCTGCTGTGGCGGGAACTGGGCTGGCCTGCTGGAGAGAGGGGCGAGAACGCGTGCGGCGAAGGGGAAAGGCCGAACGGGGGAGCAGGCCGCGCGCTAGGCCAGTGAGGGGAGAGAGCAAGTGGGCTGCCGAGGAGAAGTGGGCTGCTCGGGCAAAAAGCCGAGAAAGGGAGAAGAAGAAAATAAAATTCCTTTTCTATTTTCAAATCCATTTTCAAACCATTTCAAAAGCATTTGAAATTATTTTGAATTTTGCACAAAACCACTCATCACAAAAATACAAATACACCAGCATGAATGCACCATAATGTTGCTATCTTATGATAAATTTTAATTTAATGAAAATTTATTATTTAGCTATGTTTTCATGAGCACAAAATACATAACTAAATCATTTTATCTCTATTTCAAAAAGAAGCAAATTTTAGGGTGTTACATTGTCGCTGAGTGCGTGCAATGGGCAGGGCGTGCGCAGGGCGTGCGCCTACGCATGCCAGCAAGTGGGCCAAATTTCTCACACGAAGAGAGCAGACGGGCCCAACGCGAATACAGGGAGGAAGAAAAAGATACGGATACGCCATACAAAAAATCAGAATCCAAATAGAGATAAGAGTTGGATGAAAAAATTTGTGGTAAGAAATTTACCTCTTTATTATTAGGTATAGATATAGATATAGATATGGCTATGGGTGTAAGCAGCCGGAAACCGTCAAAAATCTATTTATACAATATAAAAAACAAAAACAATCGGTACAAGATTTTTTCTGCTTTTGTAAAATTAATGAATATAAAAAATGCTTGTGAAACCGGTTGAATATGACAATTTTCATGTTTGGTTAAATTCGAGAGTGGTAAAAAATAATATCCTAATATAGAAAACGAAAACTGTCAGTACGGATGAAAAACGCCGTCGCCACCCTTGCTCCTAGGACATTTGCTACGACAAGATCGTCGTTGTAGGCGTCGATTTCATCGGCATGCGACTAATTTTTGGTCTTTATCTGTAGGGGAGGGGTGCTTCTGGGAGCCTTCTACAAGGATAGAGACTCTAGGTCATCGATCTCATCGTCGATAGTCGCAGAGAAGAATTCAAGGTCTCAAGGTGATGAATTTGCAACCTATGCCGTACCCGACAGCCGACAATGCAACTTCAACGATTTAGATGCGTTTTGGACTGGTTCCGAAGCGTTGGATCTTGCAGCATGTCCAATGTTTTGGGGTTGGTCGTTGGATTCGACATAAGGACTACACTTTGGCTCCAGCGTTTGAGGGATGCCAATGGAAAAGAAGAAGATGGAAGAATCTGGATAGAATATTATGTATTTTTTATTTTAGATTTTTTCATGTGTAACTTGGGGATGTATTGTGCCAAGATTTAATATAAGTTCCCTTTTCCTTCTCAAAAAATGGCTAGCCTTCACTGTAATTCTCATGCTAGAAAAAATTAAATTCTATAGAAATTCTCACATAAATTCGAAAAATCTGGTCTTTGATTCTGTAGACTCCAATCATTATTGATATAATAGAATAGAACTATTATATTTTCTAAATAAATACCCACATATGCCATTACGATAAGTCCAATTTGCATCTAATGGATCAGATGGTTAAGTTTTTTGTGTAACCTTTTAATCCAGGTTTAAGTCCTCGACTTAATGTGGATGTTCATAACCGTGAGACGCCGCTCAGTCTTTCAGGATGCATATAGAGATAGAGTATGCATGCGTGTGTTTATAGAGATGAATGTATGTATATGTATATGTGAGCATTTATATCTGCATTGTGATTCATAAAAGAAAATAGTAATAGTAAGATAATCAACTGATATGAACATGCTAACATAGGTGATGGGTGTGTACTCCCACACGTCTTCCCAGCTGAGGTGTAACCTTTTTGCTGCAGCGCTGCAGGCTGCAGCTGCAGGAAACTAGTAGTAGCATCCAAACGCACAACAGCTGCAGCAGCTGCAACAGCCAAGGAAAGTAGGACTTCCGAGCACACCCATAGGTCCATCAGTGAGCGCGAAATATAATGTATATATATATAGCTTGACAAAGAAAGGTCAAGCATCCTGATTTGTGTCCGATTGCTTTAATCTCTTTCTTTCTTTTGTTAAGAAGTAAGCAACAAGCATATATTCGTGGAACTACAATTCCCAGGTTGAAGTTAAAACAGCATTACCTGCAAATAACCACATGCACGAACTTGGTCTGGTTTATTTATTGCTGAAAAAAAATCCTAACTTACTCTATTTGCCTGTGATTGGATACATGATTGATCTTTGAAGAAGCATAAATAAAATACATATGTACTTGATTTTTCTATGTTGTGCATAAAGACACAGAACACAACACACAGTAATCATGCATGCATACCCACTTATTCATACTCAAAACAACCAAATTAACACTATAATAAGATGTCTATATATGCAAATAAAGCTGGACACTGGAAAAGTGGAAAGGGAAAGAGTACAACCTAGAACATTAAAAAGAAATCAATTGCACAAACACGTACGTACCACTCTGACCCGCGATCCTGCACTGTGTAAAAAACTAACAACTAATTAATATAATATAACAACACTCAATTAACACCGCACGTAGTGCAACAGCTAATCCACCGGTCCATTCTGGGCAGCTCATCAGAATTCAGAAGCAAAAGGTGGAACGCCGCGACCGCCGCTCGTCGCCGCCATGGTCCACGGCAAGGCAGCGTTGCTGCTGCTGGTGATCCGTTGGCGATGACGGCGGTGACCGCCTCCTGATGTTCAGGTTCAGCCAGCCGATGATCCAACCTCCGGGAGGCCAAGAGGCTGACCTCTTCCTCAACTTCTTAGCCTTGGACTGGGACACCGACTGCTGGTAGGACGGCGGCGGCGAGATCGGCGGCACGGTCCTGGCGGCGGCAGACGAGGCCGGGGTGACGGAGCTCTTGGGCGTGCCTGGCTTGGACTCCCACAGGAACGGCACGGTGCCGGCGCCGAGGCTGTAGTATACCCTGAAGGACGCGTTGGCCACGCTCGAGCGATCCCTTGAGAGGATCCTCGAGCTGAAGAGCTTGGGCCCTTCTTGCTGCTTACTGGAGGAGCTCATCATCTGCTCTGCTCATATGAAAGAGAGAGAAATGGATGGATGCAGAGAGAGAGAGAGAGAGAGAGAGAGAGAGAGAGGAGAGAGAGATGCCTTGCACTTTGCAGAGCTAGCTAGCTGGTTAGAAGAAGTTGCAACGAGCTAGAGAAGAAGGTGTGTGGCACAACAACACGTACACAATTGAATGAGGGATGTGATTGAGAGTGAGTGAGGAGGGTGTGTGTGGTGTGTATATATGGGGCCTTTGATTCGATGGGGTGCTTTTTTGGGGAGGCTTGAGGCTCAAGAGAGAGAGTACTGGGACACAAAAGTTATGTGTTGTGGTGGTGCCCATAGCAAAAGAAAAATGTGTTGCTGTGGGGGGTGGCGATTAAGTTGAGCTTAGGTGATAATGACCATAATTAATGGTGCATTATTGCTGCGCTAAAAATGTCGTATGATTGTTTTATTTGAAAAAGAAGATAATGTGACTAATTACCATGGTGCATCCAAAAGAAAATGAGAGGGAAGGGAGATTAAAAGGGGAAGATCGACGTGGCATCACCATGGAAGAAGCTTCAAATGTGCCTCTATATCTACCCTTGTCTGTTGACAAATCTTACTACAAATGGATTGGTAAAGAAGGTTCATCCTACTCACCATATAGTTTGAGAAAATTTTGGACGTGTTTGGTAGAGCTTCTTACGGCTTCGGCTCCTCCAACACCATACCTCGTATGTTTACAGGAGTCATTCTTCTCGATTTGTGGCTCCTCTGGTACTATAGCTCAGAGCTGGAGCCCAGCGAAACGTGGCCTTTGTATGTAATACCTCTATTAATTTACTGGACATACTATAGGGCATGCCAATCTTTCTAAAAACTACTGACACCCTTAACACACAGAGAGACACATGTAATTGTTAGTTCACCATCAAAATTAAAGTGCTAATATATCACACTTGTAATATTCTAAGTACATCTCTGAAACGTACTCCTGCCTAAGTCCAGAACTGTTAGTATATAAAAAAGGAAATTACAGCAGAGTAAGTACGAGGGAGCAAATAAAACATCAACTAGCTTAACTGATTCCCTACATGATTGTGCCATCTTACCTTTCTAGACAGCAAAATTAGTGGTACTATGAGGTCAAAAACAAAACAAGAGAATTAGTGACAAATGTCCACCTAAAGGTTCAGACATATATATAAACTTATACGCCCAATGTTTCCCCTCGAAGAAAAGAATTTTCGAATCTTTCAACCAAAGATCAGAAAGGCGCGCGCGCACACACACACACACACGAATTGAACGTGCAACTACTTACCCTCTCAACATGGATCCATTAAGTACTAGGACAACAGGGTACTTTAGTTTTGGTTCTCTATAAGACCTTTTGCAAAATCAGGTCTTTTGCAACAGGATTAGACAACACCTTTATTCTGCTTTATGCTTTGTTTTGGCTGATTCCATGGTTTTTGCGTCTGCTTCACCAGAAACAGGAGTGTGTAAAGAGTAGTTCAACCGAGTGGCTTATAGCGTCTTGTCCATCACCGGATGACTTTGAAGAAATGGCAGTCATAAATTTTGGATCGTATTGCGGTCGGTACAATGACTTCAGGACGTACTTTTTTGGACAGAGACCGAAATCTTCTACTACAAAATCTGGAAACGATTTGTTCGTATTTGAGCACCATTCAAACAATAGAAAGTCACGAAAGTGTAAAATTAAATGGTTGAGATATGTAGATCTCAGATAGGAAGGAAGTAGACATGAGCGCTACATAAAATTCAAAGTTATTCCCACTCAAATTAAAATAAACCTATCCTATCAATTCATTGATTCATGAGATTTTAATAACATCATTGGTATTTTAGCATTATCAGTTGTGCTCCTACACATCAATTGCAATGATGAACTTCTGATATCATATTATGTATGTCGTGAGCATTAATAGCTCAACAGAAAAAAGTTGATTTCCAGATAATTAACTAAGATCCCTTGAAAAGGTGCAGGATTTCTTCTGGATCTATGCCTTTTGGTTAATAATGCATTGAGTATATAATATTGATTAAGTTTTGTTATATTTATTATAAATCCATATACACAGGCCAGCAGTCTACTACTTCCTCTGTCCTAAAATATTATGAACATTGAAAGGGCATTATATTATGAAAATACGCTTCATTAATGCAATCATGCTAAGTCCATATAATTAATTTGAATCTCTTTTTAGAAAAAAGTGACAGTTAATTTTATAGAGCTTGGACTATATGGTGGTTCCCAAATCAAACATTTGTTCCAAACTAATGTACATGTTGCTTAGTTTTTTCTATAAACTTAGTCCAATTTAAATAAGTTTGATTTAAGATAAAATAAAAACATCGTACATTTTGGAATAGGGGAGGAGTTATTAACTTTAGTTGAAAATGGATATACAAATCTAAGAAAAATATATATAGGAATATCCACACAAGTAACCCACTACCTTGATCTCAGTAGACACCCATATTGCTTTTTTGCTAATGGAATAAAAAAACTAATTCCACCCACCACATCTTAAGATCCTTCAGCCATTCCTTACTACATAGCTACACTTGCAGCAAAAACAAACATGCACATAGTTCATCAAGGATGAAATGTTTAATAAAAGAGATTTGTAGCCTTTAGGAGAACATGTTGTTAAAACTCTCCATCCTTGGTTGGCAAATACATCAATTGTTGTAGTGTCCAAAGCATGCCATGATCTATGCACAAGTTCTTGACCCTCATATTCTGTTGCAAACCTCAATGTCATGTCGTCGTACATGTTGCTTGTTAGGCATTTCTTATGCTCAAGTAGAATATTCCGTAAGTGCACATAATACCATTGTAGCACTTCACCAAGCAGTATTCCAAGGTATCATATTGATCCTCAGGGAAGCAATGGTTAAAGAACATGATAGCTAACCAAGATGGATCCACTAACTGATATATCAACTAAACTAGAGTGGGGGTAAGTGATATATAATATGAGTGATGACACACACAGGAGAAGTCCAAAGGTAAAGATAAAAGAACAGTCTAGCTAGCAGTGAGGACGATGAGTGAGCACAGGGTTTCGAAAAATCTATCTTTACTCATATGGTTCTAACTTAGCAAGACAAATTTTATCAAGCAAGAACAACAATGTTCATAAACAAATGTACTTTGGGTCACAAGGCCACTTGGCAATAGAAAGGGATGAGAAGGGCGCTAAACCAACGAGCACGGAAGAACTATGTTTTAAGAACTTTCCCGAACATGGTGGGATATAGAGATCATCGGACGGGGCTATCACCACCTATTGACTACCACAAGACAAACCATGAGTCAAGCTGCAAACATAGGTAAGCGTATAGTCTAGACACCATGTCTACACTATGTATTACTACTCTAATCTGAATTCCAGTGATATTGATTAGAATATCAGGTTAAGGGTGGTGAACCGGTGCAAAGATACTACCATTATCTTACTATCATCCAACTATGACTATGCTAACAACCAATACAACACAACTAGGGATGTTGCAATAAAGTAAAGCACCAAGGCAAAGTAGAGAAGATAACTATCTCTACCAATATAAAAAACACCGGTTGTAAACTTTCCTAGAGCTACCCCAACAAATGCCCCCCATAGTCAAGCCCTCTCCTAGATGCACCAAACCAACTGCACCCATAACCAGTGAACCTTAGAAACGAAGGGACGAAATCCACTATAGCCTCTCCTTTATCTTACTCACTGAATCCAACGACCAAGTTGTTTGGATCTTACCTCATCACACATCACTCAACCCACGCGCAACTCCTATTCCCCAGGCGTGACACACGTGACTCCTCCTCTCCCCCATGAGTGACTCCTCTCCAGCTCGCTCCATGTTGCCCCCTCACCACCAGCGCCTCCCGCCCGTGCTCTACCCACTCGCCTATGTCTGGATATGGCGCCTCCACCTCACGCCCAACCCGTTGCCGCAGCCGCAGCGGCGGCCCTCGCCCTTGCACATCCGTGCACCGCTGCCTACACTTCACCAATGAGTCTCGCACGCCGCCGCCACCGTTGCTCCCGCCACGCAGCATCGGGTTCGGCCCCTTCCGCTGGAGCCCGCGCTCGTCGCTGGGCGCACTGAGCAATGCGTTGGATGCCGCTGCCGTCGCTTCCACACCAGGACGAGACGCCGCTAGGGTGCTAGGACAACTGCCACTAGGACACATAGGTGATGGGGAGGAGTAGTAGCAGCAACGCACGGTGGTTCTGTAGATGTTGGTCGCATTCGGACAACGGTCTGGCTTGCCGAGTGGAGTGCGAGGTGCCTGAGCCAGGTGGTCGGTGGTGGATGGAGGCCACTACGACATCGCTTTTGGAGATGGAGATTGCCTAGACATCCATCATGTTGCTCACATCTACCTTCTCGACCAACCTTGAGGTGAACAGGCATGCAACTCTACCTCTCCATTAAATCTTTAGCCGATGCCTTTTGGATTAGGATTTTGTGCATTCATTTAACCGATGCCCTTTGGATTAGGATTTTGTGCATTCATCTTTTAGTCTTTTACCATTTGTCTTATTAGTCATGATGTATTAGGGGTTCAGTTTATGTTGTAGCCATATATTCTCAATTTCATAATGTTAGTATTTCTTATTCACCATTGTTCCAATCAATTTTCTTGCTAAGACCTCTGCAAATGTTTGTGATGGATGACAGCAGCTACTGATCTCTAGCTAATGGTGTTGTCGATGCCGGTGCATGCTTGATGCGGCAATTCAAATAATGGTGTCCAACGCCGCTCCTGAGTTGAGCAATAAAAAAATTTCTCATTTTGATTCAGTGTTGTTTGTGTGGGAACCCATGCGATCTTGTTGTATTCTTGACTTTGGAATTTCTATTTTACACTTTGCTTGTTTTATTGTATCCATATTATTCACCTATATACAGGTAAGGTTTCATGTCATGTGAATGTTGATTGTATCCATTCATGCATAATTTTGATTCTAGTAACAGTAGTTATTTCT